AAAGGCATGCTACCGGTGGTGCCCTGTCCAAGCAGTGCCTGTATCAAACTCGTTATTCTCAATCCACCGGTCAATCGTCAAATATGTGGTTAACTTTTATTTTGATAAAGTGGAGGGAATACGGGAAAGGCTGCAAGTTACCAAATTTTCTATTTGTCCCGCAGTTAATTGAAATAACGACATTTTTTTTTTTTGACATGCGATAATTACAGGCGCCTGCTTTTCAATAAAATAATCGGCATCACAGTCCTGTTGTTTATCAAATTGACCCTTCTTTTACTGTCACCTGCTTAAAAAATTCACATGCGACTTTGATCAGTGATTGCTTTGTTTTTCCGCTGTTTCTTGTCATCGTTGCAACTAGCAACATTTCAAAGTAAGTATGGTGAGAAAGAGAGGAATTTTGTTTTAACAATGAAGCACCTTGAATGCATATTTCTGCAAAAAGCCTTTTCCATCCAAAAAAGTCTACAGCCACTGCACAACCGTTAAATGAAATTGAGTATAGTGCAGTGGAAGTTGACCTCGAAATCCAATTCTTTTTTTTTGCTTTCTAGCTCCGGATCTGCAGTTTTTGGACTTGCTTGCCTTTCTGTTTTAACGCACTCAACCACTACACTTTGGCTAGATGTCTTAAGCGTGTTAGATAATTATGTATTTACTGTTAGATAATTATGAAAATGTTGCAGAACGCGGTCCTGTGATTGTGCGGGACTGCTGGAATAGAGTGATCGAGACAAAAATGAATGTTGGTAAATTTGAAAAGATGGAGAATGAAGGCATTAGTACACAGGTCAGCCAGTTTCGGCTAGTTTCTAGCTGTTATCAGGATCATCGTTGGCTGTTGGTGTGGTACCACCAGTATGGCTGAGACACAGCGAAAGCAACGTCTGCCAGAACCTTCATTTCTTGAGCTGCTCGCATCCGATAGTTGCCTGCTGTTTTTGCTACATTATCTTTTTGGGGCCTTTCCAGTTTTAAAGTGCGATGCGTCAAAGTTGAAATTGCAAAGGCATTTATGCCTATTTTAATTCTGGGACCAGGGAAGGTGGGAAACTGAAATTTTAGGGGGTTTTTTCCTATTCGTGTGTAGCAAGCGCCGGCTAAACAAAAAGCACAGTCGCGCCGACTACCTGGTGCAAGCCGTCATTTATTTGGTATTTCAGTTTCGAAACATTATTAATAATACATAAACGCTCAAAAATACTCAGTAACTCTCAAAGATACAAAAATTCTACGAATATGGCAAGCAAAAATTGTGTTGGTAAAGCAACCTAAGAATGCACAGCTGTATGGCACATACGCTATGAATCGTAAACAAAAAAGCGTTTCCAATGTCGCAGCGAATCCTTCGATGTCTAGAGCATTGATGTATGGTTCTAACCAAAATCGATATTGCCGAAAAAAAAGACTGCCATTTCGTCGCACTACGATTTGTTGATTGGTGTGAAGTTAAATCCGAGGCTGCTTCCAGCACTCTTGGCCCCACTTTCAGTTCGTTTTTCCGAATGTGTTTCGCGGAAAGAAATTCACCGGCAGCAGTACTAAGAGCACCAAGCGTGGTGAAAGCGCAGATACTTTCACCATGTTCAAATACCTCTTGGTCATTCGAGAGAAACAGAAGCAAAGAAACAAATAACATTAGCAACTTCTTTAAAAGGGGCGGTTACGAATTTCGAAATAAAATCTTATCAAGTTTGTAGCTCTTAAAAAGATGTGATTAAAAGGTTGTTCAGGACTTTGAAAGAATTCAGGTGGAATTTTAAGAAAAGCCACGAAATGAGGATATTTTGTGGAATTATTTGACTGAAAATGTCTGACAGTGCGATAGTAAGCTGCGCATATTAGCCAAATTCAATTGTACTGCATGTGAGATTTGCATGGTACAGGTTACACGTACCTGGCGAGCCTGTACTAAGAGGAGACAGTAACGATTAACCAAGGAACAGCTAATGGCTAATTATTCGCACAGCGCCATACAGCTGTGTTTTGGTTTCATCGAGATCCCAGCTCAGGGAATATATGGAAATTCCTTGTAAAAGATGCAGTGCTGGTTTTCACAGTCTGCTTCTACTCGTCTCATTTGTGCATATTTGGGCATTCTGGTATCTAGAAGCATAATCTGGATTGCTTTTTGAAAAAAAAAATATTTCTGCTTGATTTTGGTGAGGACGACACACTTTAGATTTTAATAAAAAAAAAAAAAAAGAAAAGAAAAGAACAATACAGTCGAATGTGTCGATTTTAATGCCTTCGCATAAAAAACATTCTTGACAAGCACGGAAAAAGATAAATATGATTGTTGAAAAGTTATTAGTAAAAGAAAGCAATAATTGAAGAAACGCATCCTAAAAAAGAGAATGCGTGCTTTTTTTCCTTTTCTTTTCCATTTCTTCTCTACCATAATAACTTACTTTATTTTTTTCTAATAATTATTAAGTGGTCACTCTCGGATAGATCCCAAGTCGGTAGGAGAATTCTAGATAAGTGTTAATCATAAACTGGTCCGATTTTCTGATCATCCTGAATGACGCTGCAGTCTACCACTCACTTGGTTCATTCATGTGTGCACAATTTTTACTTTTAAGAAAGGAGAGGAGGCAAATTCCATGCTTCCTCCCCGTTTTTCGCCCCAGCTACTAATTTTTTTTTCATGAAAATAAAGTGGCGACGCTGCAGGTTGCCTCCTCCTCGCTCCTTCGCCCTCAGAATTGTCCACTTATAAAAGGTGCACGTTCAGAAAACATTTAATTTTTCTAGGACTGAGAATGAGCTTCTCAGATGCAGCTGTTGCACAATCACCTGCGCGCATAAATGACTTGGCTATTCGAACAATTTATGGTAGCAATCCTCCACTGAGGAAATGTCTTTGCAGGTGCGGTTGATGGATGCTGACTTGGAACAAACAGTAGGTGTGCTGCATGCCTGCTACGGATACTTGTGCAATGGTGGGAAAGGACGAAGCCCAGTCCTGTGTATAATTATTAGCTTCATAAGCATCCTCCCGTTTTGGTGCTCAACATAAATTACCGAGACTGCAGATTCACGAGCTGCAACCAAAAGCCGAGCAGCTCAATGAGGCTCTTTTGTTGCGGGCAAATGCCTTATGCTGTGTTTCGCTATCATGTTATAAGTAACACGGTCTTTGCGGAAGCTAGATGATCGCACTGGTTCGAGAGATACCAATTACTGACACGTGAGATCCACCGACTGTAAGCGAAGCGAACAGCGTCCCATCCTACTTCCTCTCGTAGTAACGACATGTTTACAAATATCTCACCACCAAAATATAAGTAGATTTCGACTGATATTGCGTAAATAAATGTTAATTGGGAATATTGTAAGTTGATCTTTTTAAAAAATACATTATTGCTCTGAAATTTTGAAGTGTTCTTATGTCACATGTCAGAGCTTTTGAGTTTCCAGTGGTACCAAAAGTAAAAAGCCAGACGCTGCATATCTTTTCAGTAAGAGACCTTCAGCATGCCTCTAACAGACTATTGTGTTCGTAGAAACGCAAAGCCAGATGATGTGGGAAAAATAGAAACTTTTTCTAAAACAGGTACGTGCTGAAATACATAAAAATGCACCGGAATTCGCGAAAAACTACACGCTCGAATGTGTTGTAATGCGGATTTCACTTTAGATTTTTTTTTTTATAAAATTATTTTGGAGTCAAATTTTACAAATGCGTTATGCTGGCTTTTGCATCTCCAAAGATCTGAGGATAACTAGTATAAGCCAGAAACTACCTCAGTTTCCCATCAGTTCCACTGTGCCAAGCGGCAGTGTCAAAAATAAATAGCTGACCAGCGAACACACAAATGTTATTGAATTGAGTATGCGTTTTATGTCTTTCCTATTTATGCCATATATAATTCAATCAGGGCAACAGTTTCTCGATGTTAAGTTAAAAATTATGCACTATGTTGCAGATTCCACTCCACCTTTTGAATCAGCTTATCGTGCAAAAATCCTAAATTTGGCTCCTTCTTTTTATCAGCCGTTCGCTCTTTAGGCCTTGTAGGTCACTGGCATAGTTTGGGAAGTTACTGGCATCATGGGAGAGGTGACCGCCTTTTTCGAAGGATTATGAGCCATTTTTTTCTTGTAATAATCAGTGGTATCTTGGCATTTATTATTATTATCTTCTGTATTCGTCACGTAAAATAAAATATAATAAATACCACTTGTAGATGCTGTGTTCGCAACTGTCTACTTCGGCCAAAATTTAACTATAGGCTACAGTTGCTAGCCAGAGATTGCACGTCAAAGGACGTCGGTAAACAGAAATTCCATCGCATTGCAGATGTCTTCAGAGTACTGAACCGTAAGATCTTTCTCCCTTTCCCAGCACCATTTTGTTGAAAACAGTGGCGTACAATGCGAGATGTGGCGTCTGATCACGTTTTGTATCCGCAGAAGAAAAGTGCTGATTTGGTGGAGAGCGCAGTGATCTGAAACTGCTTGAAGCGTTTCTCCATGATTGCTCTGTCAGATGACTGATATCATATAACATCACTGAGGCCAAGAAGCCAAGTGGGAATTGAGGAGCGGACATATTACTCACGTTACTGAAAACGGTGGACGTTGCATACTAATAGCTAGAACCCGCGAACAAAAGAAAAACTGATCAGTCGTTTTTCGAAAAGAGGAGCTTATGTGATAACAAAGGCCAGTGCAAACTAAAGACCATTCAACATCAGAAAAGCCTGCTTTTTACAACGTTGGAGAACATCGACAGTTCAAGCAGTTTTGCCAGTAGTTCCGTATGAATTGAATTTTTGGTAAGTTTTTATAAGATGCAAATGGATGAACTCAAATACATACACACCACACACACAAACATATACACACACACACACACACACAAACACATAAACATACATACAAATCCAGAAATCCTACTGCAAAATTACTGATTGAAAAAGTCCGTGTAGTGTTATTGATTGATATGCATTACATATATTAGCACAGTAAACTTCCCTTAGCAGCATGAATCACTTCCGATTAGTAACATCACGCTGTTTTTGTTCTTTGGAATCGTGCTGATCGTAATCGTCTTCGTGCCTTCTCAGTGGTCTCCACTGTTTAAACTCCTCGTTAGGACGTCCCTGATTCCGCTCCCGCCTTCGCCCCTTTTCTCTTCTTGCATCTGTTCCGAACTGATCTCCAAACCGTCCAGAATGTCCTAAGGGTATGCCATTAGAAAAAGATTGCCTTCGTATGCCATCTTCATCACGGTTGGAATTGAATGGGAAGCTAGGCCGGATTGGTAGACTGGCTAGCCATTCTTGGAAACTTGGAATCTGCTCAGGAAAAATAGGTGATGCCCCCGCTGTTTGTTCTTGTCCATCGCTGTCTTCGGCTTCTTCCGCTCGAGAGCCTTCTTCGTCCTCCTCTTTTTCCATCATCAAATCACGGCGATCGTCATCATCCTCCACATTTCCTTGATTCCTTTCATCACTCCTCTCTTCGCTTTCAGCTGGTTCTTCTCTTCCTGGTCCCTTTACACCGGACCACTTGCGGTTATTTTTGTTTCCCTCCATTTCCCTCCCATGGACTCCCTCACGAAATCCATCCTCGTTATCTTTATCTTCTACTCGAGAATTTCTGTTTTGGTTGGGTTTTCTAGTATCTACTTCTGCAGACGTATCCTGGTCGTTGTCGTCGTCTCTGAGTTGGTGTTCATTTGGTGCTTGCTTCGCAGTCTCAATTTCTTGATTTTCTATTGTAATTGCTTGAGTAGTAGTTTTTGGCATCACGATTCGTGGCCTCTCCACATGTTCTGCTGCCTTATTATAGTTTGTAACAAATTCTGCCGAATTCATGTAGAACGCTGAGGTTGTCCACGTAGCTGGAACAATAAGCATCGGTTGAGTAACGATGTGTGGGCTTACGGAAGTGGTAGCTTTGAAAGCCGTTTCTTGTGATCGTGCATCTGCAGTTGATTTCGATTCATCCGGTTGCTCCAAAAGTGGGACCATAGTTCCTGCAGCAGCAGTAATTCGATACGTATGGTCAGAGTCGTTGAGTTTAGTGCCTAGTCCAATATTAACAGTGGTTTCTGGAGAACTACTCCCAAATACGAACGGCTGTTGAAGGGACAGCATGTTTTGCGTATTCCCTGTTGTCGAAATTTTTGGTTGGTTGGTGTAGGGCTTCTCTGCATAATGCTGCGCCGGTATGGGTTCTTGAGGGAAAATCATTTGTCGGTGCGGCTTTTGCTGCGGGCCTGGTATCATTGTTGCCTCCGCTGATTTCTGCGCTGAAAACATCTTAACGATGTTTCCAGTCTGCAGTCCAGGAATGCTGCTTGAGGAGAGACCTGGCCACTCCACATGCATGTCTGCTCGTCTTGCTGGAGCTGCAACAAGCTTTCTACTACTAACAATTGTCGATGGTGTCTTGTATCGCGGGGGTGCTGCATTTGGTTTAGCTGTCGTTTTAGCAGCGGCAAGCAAAGCGGTAGGGATTTCTTCTCGAGCTTCAGTCTTGAGATTCTGAAGGACAGGGACAGCAGCTGCTGGCGCCACGTTGACACTGCGCTGTGTAAATGACAGGTACAACTCGGGCTGCGTGCTGCCAGAAACTGTCGATGTGGTATCAGGTGGCGACAGTGTGCTGCTGACCGCGAAGTCTGCATTCCGGCCCTTTTCTTTATCCGCTTGCTCGTTCTCTTCCTCTTCCTCGTTCGAATCTGCAACTGCAACAGCAGCTGGCCAAAGCGCTCCGTCAAGAGCGACCATCGGTACTGTGCTCGCATCGGTCGTGGTGAAATTTTCTCTTTTTTCAATGAGTCTTGGACTGTCCAAATCCAAATCGTCTCCAGCTGCTTGTGCATCTACCCAGTCTGCCTGTGTTGCACGTTGATCCGGTGAAACATCCTGCGACGCACTGCTTTGGGTGCTGCCAAATGAACCGGCTTCCTTCACATCCATATTCGAGTTATGATGATGATTCGTAGCTTTGGTTTCGGCTTTTTGCGATTTCCAGTCATCCTTCTCTTTCTTCTTGGGGCGCTTCTGGAGATATGTTGTTGGTATATAACCAGCAACCATCTGAACATTATAACCTATGATTTTGGCACCTGGCGGTACTACTGTCCACGCTTTACTCCTCATGTCTGATTGAGTTACCGTCACTTCGTCATTTTTTTGGTGTTTCTTTGAACCGTAGTTGCGAATTTTTTCAGCGCTTGGGAGACCAGGTTTTGCGAACGCTCGAAATGGTCCCTTGATACTGGGTTGCTGCTCCAGGGCACCATTCACTGGAGGAGGTAGCGAGTCTTCTGTCTGATACGGTGTTATTGGACTGAACTGCGGCTCCTTGTTGTAAAGCGCACCTGCAAAAGAATTGTCGACATTACGCATTGAAATTCTATTGGATTTCAAGTAATTGACCGTGGGTCCTTTCTTCGCAAAAGAGATACAAGGCCACGTATTTTAACTATTTCATGCCTGCTGCATATAAAAATCATTGGCGACGCGCACTGGGCGAGTCTGTGCGATCATGCGTTTTTGCAGCATTTCTTGCTATTGTAAGACCATTTGGAATCACAATAGCTAGAATTTATGACATACTGATCCTCAAACTTAAGGAAGATAATCGTACAACTACCACGTGTAAAAGGGAACATTCTGTTAAAATTTCAGCTTTCCAGCTTTTCTAGTTCCCGAGTTAGCAATTTTCCCCCCGAAAAATTTCACGGGGACACACGTGAGAACCACGCATACCGGGGAAGTGCAAGTGGGAACCACGCATACCTGGGAGCTGGATTTAAATTCCTTAAGTTTTACATGGGCTGGGAACATCCCCTTAAAATTTCAGCCTTCCAGCTTTCCTGATCCCTGAGTTGCGAATTTCCCTGCCAGAAATTTTCATGGGGTCGTAATTGGGAGCTGAATCTGAAATCTTTGAGTTCCATGTTGACAAGGAACACAGCCACGAAATTTCAGCTTTTTAGCTTTTCTAGTTTTCGAGTTAGCGATTTTCCTGCCAAAAATTTCACACGCTCGTGCGCGGGGCCTAGAAGTGTGTGAAGGCTGGTACCACAGCACTTGATCGGGGAACCCACTGGCAAAATTTTGGCATCGGGGCTTGCTTGGTTGCCGAGTTGAAATACACGAACAGACGCACGTACACACACGCACATACACACACGCGCCCGGGTCGTCACAATATACGTTTTGTATTTGCATATTTGCAAAAACGCACAGTGATGGTATATAATACAGAATAGGCTCAACCGTGCCCTTGCTCGTTCTTGTTGAGCATGAGTGCACAATACACTTATGTTCTGCCTTAATTATATTTATTCTTGAATGATTTTTAAGCTTCTTTTTCAAGACCAGCAATACTAGAATCGCTCGAACAATCACTGCAAGTTCTTACGGAATGTCTCCATACACCGAATTGCAGCTATGCCAGGCCCTTCACTTCTGAGCTGCATAACCCAGTTAGCCTCTTTAAAGGTCGTCCAAGTGTTAACTAATCAAAGACAATAATCAAGATCCTTTTGTATTCGCTCCGAGTGCGAAGCAGTGGCAGTCGGAAAATAGCCCGAGTGTTAACAAATTCTGATAGCAGTTGGCAAGGTCATTTAGCGGCTACCTTTAGGGTTGCTCACAAGCAAGCTGATGGCGAATTTGACACTATGCTAATATCAATTTACCATCAAAACGAATCGTAGAGGGGATTAGTTGTCCCATCGGTAGAGTCAAATTTTCGACCTACTGTGTGACAACAGTGCTATCCCTACTGCGCAATGCATCCACAATGTAGGCAATTACAAAAACTCGGCTCGGCTGGAGATCTATGGTGCTTGGACCATTCGGCACTTTGCCATAACATCTCTGCCAACAGTATTTCGCAGCGGTGCTCGCTGGAACTTTGCCAGACGCGCTGGGTAGCGCTACCCAATATCTGGCGACTGGATCGCGTGGCCGGGAGGTGATGAGTGGGAGGGTTGGACGTGGTTGGGGGGGTATTGGTTGGAGTTGCCCAGATACAGCTCAGAGGGCGCGATTGAGGCCAGGATAGTGGGGAGGGATGAAGTTGCTGGTTAGGAGTTCAGGATGAGAAACGGTGACAGTGGTTGGAGGTGGTGGGTGCCCCGATGCTGATCTGAAGGTAGGGATTGGGGACAGGATACAGGAGAGGAAGAAGGGTGCTAGTCAGGAGTTCGAAGCAAGAACTGTAGATAGCAGTAAAGAGAAAAATAAACCAATGCGGAACTACAAAAGAAAAGTAAATTGAAACAAACCTGAATTTGTGAATAAAAGGGAAACCCAGGTTGGAACGGACGAGGCGGATCGGTGCGATTATGCGTTTTTGCACTTCTCGTGCCGTAGCAAGATTGCAAGGAATCAAAGTAGCTAACCCTGTGAAATACTGGCTCTCGAATTGTAGCTAACCTT